AAGAAAGAGAACACAACGTTTCAGCCGTGGAGCCTTCTTCCACACCTGAAGAAGGCTCCACGGCCGAAACGTTGTGTTCTCTTTCTTCTTTTTTTCAGCATGGAATAAACCTATTACTAGTAATTCAAATGATTGCGATACATTTTTACGGCCATCAGTACACCGGATATTTCGTTGCAATCAGAGTTGAGATAAACATATTTAAATTAATGAATCAATGACATACGAGAAATTAATGATTAAATTATTAATTTACAATCAATTTAGGGATAGTAACCAACATTCACCATAGTTCCTTCAAAGCAAAGGTATAATTAGGTGGAGATTTTTTTATATTGCCATCTAGGAGAAAATACCAATACTTTCTGTACTGTTCTCTTACTCTTTTGTTTCACTCAAAGTCTCAGTTGCATAGTTAGTCAAAATATTTATTTTAGCTACATAATTGTAATGCTTCTAGCTAGGCTCTGAGGCAATTTATAAGTAACTGTATCTTTAATGAAGTGAATGTTTTGCATAATCAACTGTTAAAGAAAATAAAATCTATGTATGTCTAATTCAGAAAATAATGAAGTTAACTGTTGACTACTTTGGTCAGAACAAAAACAATAAGACAATAAGACAATGAGTATTACTGTACTGTAAGTGGAAGCAGCTCTGTAAAAATGGATGTCCTATTCTTGTTTCATACTTAATAATTAGTAACTTCCGCCCAGTAGTCCAACTTGCCTTGATTACTTACAGGCCAAACGCAAGGGACACAACTGTGAAACAGTGCTGTTTAAAGAAAATAAGGTCCATTAACAGTTTTTTTTTCAAATTTTGATTTTATTAGTACATTGTAATAAATGTTACCCCCAGTGCATGTAGTCACTACTTACTCAGTATTTATGTAATTTCCATAATCGTATGTAGGAATTCAGGAGTTTGACAAAATCCTATTCGATGTGACATAAAGGTGAAGCATAGTGAAGTGTATTTGGTGAAACTGGCCAGGCTGAGGGAATGAAAGAGCTTCAGCAGGGTGTTGTGTCAATGAGAAAGTAATTCACCAAGAATGGAGGAGAATGTGTAAGTGATGGAAAAGGCGGTAGAAAAGTTCTGCAATTGAAAAAAATGCTTTGGGCTGCAAAAAGTGACACAGACTGCAAAATAATATTTGTCCTGTGTGTACACATCATGAGGTCTGAGGCCTGAGATCTACAGACAATTTAGATTAGCCTAGATTTAAAGACATTAGTGATAATGACTGCCATGCGCTAAGTGTTTTGTCCTGCTGCTTGAACAGGTAGACTCACCTGTAGAAAAACTTGAAAAGATTATGGCAAAGTACAGAGGAAAGGGAGAACTAGAGAGCAACCTTGTTAGTTAGCGAGATCTGAGAGGTTTCGAAGCAGGGAGGATGATCGATGATGAGGTGTGTTTAAACGGTATATGTGCAGATGCCTAAAAGGAAGGGAGGGGTACCAGGTGATGAGGGCTGGGAACGATTCACTCGGGTCCTGAGCAGACTGATGCCATGCACTAACACTGATGGGGCCGACTGAGTTGCCCCCTAGGGTCAGCAACCAAGGGGCAACAAGAGAATTGGGAAGGGAAAGAGGCAGAATAATGAGGGCCGTTTCCAAAGGTGGGGTGGGTTGGACACTTCACCTGAAGGGGGGCAAGGGGAAGAGAGGGAGAGCAGAGACTGTGGAAAGGAAGGAAAACTGAAGGGGAATGGGGAGTGGAACTGGTGGCCATAGTTGGTCCAGACCTCCAGGGAAGCTGAGGAAAACACAAGAGCTAGAAATTAAATGTGGACATCATGTGAAACACAAGGAGCCAGTTATTGTTTTGAGGACGGAGATGCAGAGGTTCAAAGGGCAGTTTGTTTGAGGAGATGTAAGAAGGCATTCCATAGTTGGGCTGGGAGGGAGGATGGGAACTGTGTTTCCATCGCCAGGTGGAGTCATGTTGGAAAGACGATAAAGACACAATATTGAGGAAGCTGAGCAAGGAGGGTGGGAAATCCGAAGGGAAAATGGAGAAATGAAAGATGAGTACAAGGGACTCTACCCTAGCGAGTGCAAAACAAAGAACATGAGAAAGAAACACAAAAGAGGTGCTCAGCAGACTGTATACTTACTGTATTGTGTAGCAGAGTGGGAATGGACATTATAAGAATTTGTGCTCCCTCACTCCAAACTCTTTAAAAACACCATTTGCCTGGTAAAACTGTTTTTTAAATACAGCTCAGTATTTAATAGTAGGTATGACATCGCAAAATAAAGTTTTACCAGACACAACTTGTAAGACAGTCATCTACAGATAACTATGAATTACCAAGCAAAAGTCCCACAAGAATAGGAAAGATATTGCCAACACAGGTACCTCAGCATTGTACTGCACCTGTGCAAAGTAAAAAGATGTGTATTTTTACTGAATTTAGATATAAAGTCTATTGAAGCAAGTGCTGTTCATTTATAGCTCTCTTTCCATGATGGGCATTGTGAAAGGTTTATATGAAGCAATAAATCTGGGAGTAAATTTGGGAAGCTATTGTCAGTAGTTAAGCGAACAATCTGAATGAGCGCACATTACATTTTTACATTCATAGGAGGGTACTATGGGCCTCTCACTGAGTAAACCAGATTCATAGCCATGTATAGGAAGAGGTAGCAACTTTTGTGCATCTGTGAAGCTTTTACATTTATTCTAAACAACATCAGGGTATTAAATTAAACATGATAACATGTTGAACCAGTATACCAGGCTGTCCATACTACTTATTTGTTGAGATAACAAACTTCATAGGAGCAATATCCATAAAAGGTTGCCATACTAACATCAGTAGAAGGACAATTTATTACTGTATCAGTTGCCTAAGCATGCCTACCATTGCAAATATTTTCACATTTTTACCAGCCGCCAAAATCATTTGTACTACTGCTCTTCATCTCCACTAATAATAATTAATAATTGCTTACACTTATATAGCGCTTTTCTGGACACTCCACTCAAAGCGCTTTACAGGTAATGGGGTCTCTCCTCCACCACCACCACCACCAATGTGCAGCATCCACCTGGATGATGCGACGGCAGCCATAGTGCGCCAGAACGCTAACCACACATCAGCTATTAGTGGGGAGGAGAGCAGAGAGTAATGAATTCATAGATGGGGATTATTAGGAGGCCATGATTGGTTAGGGCCAATGGGAAATTTGGCCAGGACGCCGGGGTTACACCCCTACTCTTTTCGAGAAACACCCTGGGATTTTTAATGACCACAGAGAGTCAGGACCTCAGTTTTACATCTCATCCGAAGGACGGCTCCTGTTTACATTATAGTGTCCCCATCACTATACTGGGGCATTAGGACTCACGTGGACCACAGGGTGAGCGCCCCCTGCTGGCCCCACTAACACCTCTTCCGCAGCAACCTTAGTTTTTCCCAGGAGGTCTCCCATCCAGGTACTGACCAGGCTCACACCTGCTTGGCTTCAGTAGGTTGCCAGTTGTGAGTTGCAGGGTGATATGGCTGCTGGCGTTACTAGAGTACTCCTTCAGTCTTATCCCTACAAAACAACTGCACCCCAAGTTTGTCTCTGCTGACCCCCTAGAGCAAATCCCAAGTTCTTACACTGTCTTAATGTTTTCTGCTAAGAGCTTTCCAAAGAAGTGTCAAGTGTTCTGACATGTGTCTAGACTATACAATTCTTTTCCTAAATAAATCAGAGTACAGTACTGGTACTGTATGTAATAATTCCTCTCCAAAAGTTATAAACAAACATAATGCTAAGCCTGTTATAAACTTCAGCTGGGATTTATACTTGCCTTGAAGTATCAAATAATGCAAGACAAAGCAGGCGATGTACTGAGAAAAAGCATACCGTTAACACTTATGCTTTAAAAACTTTGGTTTTTTTTTCAGAATTTATTGAAGTTTTTTATCAGCAAGAGAAAAGGCCCAGGGTATCCAAGCTATGGTCTGGTTTAAATGGCCATTAAGAAACTGAAAAGGTTTCTGTTTTTGTTTTGTCAAGAGTTTGGAGAAGTCTGTGTAGTCTGAAAAGTAATTTGAAAAGAAGGAACAAAGCCTGAGAAGTTACATAATTATTATACTGCAACTATTATATCATCAGATTAAAAATATCACCTCTTTCCATGGCTTGTATTGTACTAAATAAAAAGTAATATACTGTGGAATAAGCTAGGCTGCTATTTTCGGCTCAACTGTTTCTGTATCCCAGTTTTTTTGTTTCTGTTTGTTATCTTTGTTTTAGCCTTTATTTTGTCCATGTCTTTCTGCAATTTTATTGACACATTCCAGGAGAAAGGACACCCATTCCCAGCCGTGTACTATAAGAGTCCCAGCAGTTAAAAGAAAAGATCATGCACAGACAGATTGCGAATGGAGTGCGATAGTGACACTGGCAGGCTGCTTCCGGTGGACTTTTACCTAATAGCAGGTGAGGCTCCTGTTTGTCCTAATGACAGTCCTGATAAGACATATAGACTACTTGTTTGTCATGGAAGAGGTGAATCCCTTCAGTCCTTGTAATTTACATACTGTATCTGTTAGTGACAGCTGAGCATGGTAGTATAAAAACAAAACTGTCAATTTCAAATGCAGTTCCTCTGATAGAGCTGAGGGATTGGAGAATCTGTGTTTTATATGCCAGATATTTTTTCACACTCCTCAAACTATTTTAATAATCATTCCTAATGAAAGCATCGAGTGTGTGCTATTAGTATTTGCTTTAATTAAACACAAACTCAAACTCGTTGATTTACTATCTGCATCTGAAACAAGAAAGGTCCAAAAAATGGTTTGGGATTTGCTTTCTTCTTTAAATGTATCCCTTCCCTGGCCTTTTTTAATTAAACCATGCCTGCTGTAAGCCAAACTTTGAAACCACATGACGTCACTGTTAAAGAAAAACCTGGTAACATTTAGTTCCTCTTCAAGTGTCTAGAGCTGGGGGATAAAGCTGGAGTAGATTTGGCCATTCCAGATTCTGCAAGAGAGAGAGACTTCTGCTGCTGCAGCTGGTACTGCTCACTGGGACTGTGAGGAGATCCTTCTCTGAATAAAACGGGAAGAGGGAAGATTTACAGCACTGGAGAGAGCACTCCATGCGTTCCCATTGGAGACTTTATTTTAAAGTGGAGACTAGCCGATAGAAAAGAACAGCAGTCAGAACAACAGGGTCAACCAGTCATCAGTGCAAGACAATTAAGTCAAGGAATTACATCAATTCCATTGGAATTCCAGTGGAAGCAAACATCTGTCCAAACTACAGCCTGGGCAACAGTTTACAAAATCACACAGCACTAAGGTAGGAACAGAACTTTCCTTGAATAAAACATCTTCCTGAAAGCTTCATTCTTGCCAGGCTTGATACCAATGGATTTTTTATCATGTCTGGATGGAATTTAGCTCATGCTGAGCAGAAACACATCTTCAGAATCTATGCAGTTCCTTTATAAATAAAGTGCAACATTGGCTTCAGTTATAGGTAGATGGAGAAAGGCACAAATAAATATGTATTAAGTTTTAATTTAATATTCTCCTACATATAGCATTTTTTTCAAAGATAAAACCATATGTCCAAGGAAAAAAGGGAAATCTAAACAGTGTCTGTACAATTTTCTGTTTCAAGCATTTAACAATCCCTTTTGCATCATGCCTTTTTAAATTGTTCAGGACAGGAGAGGCAGAACTTTTGTATTTGATTATATCATGTGAAATAACCCCATAGTCATCTACCAAAACAGTGGAAGAATATGTTTCCAGTTTGGAAGTGCTGATGCTGATGTTCCTTGGTAGTTGTTAAATTAAAATTGAGGTTAACCGAGCTTAATTTTGTTAGCTTCATTTCCTTGTTAATTGATCTGTTTGCCTTATCAGCAGAAGCAGTGTTATTAAGTCAACCTTGCAGTTTCTTCCACTTTTGCTATAATTGCTTCCTTTGTGGTATGAGGAGCAACTAATTTCAAAAAAGGAAGCAAAGAATCAGCCATAGTGGAAGTTTTTATTTGTTGCTGTGTAATTAGTCTGTGAAACCAAGTTAGAAACAAATAAATAAAAAAGCTAAAGATAATGTTACAGATATATAGCTGTAAATGACAGAGGGGGAAATGACATGGGCAGGCTAAATGATTTTGAAGTTTTTAGTCTTGAACAGAAAACACAGGTGAACCTGATTCAAGTATTCAAGTCTAATAATCAAAATAACTGACAAAGTCGACTCAATGGGCGTTTTTAAAACTGCAGAATGTGGGAGTCTGAGGCGAACTACCCAGAGATGCTGACGAAGCCAATAGTACCTCTTATTTCAAGAAACATCAGGTCACTTAGCTACCACATACCCAGGCTTCCAAAAGGACCCCTCTCATTTGCAAGCACTTTTTATGTTCCTGTGGAATATAACATACAGGACCTGGAAAGCCATTCCATCAGGTGTCCGTATTTCTTTTGTTTTCAGTTCTTCTTCATCTCTGTTCTGACCTAAAGAGAGAATCTTAAAAAATATTAATAATAATCATAAACTTTTTATTTTATTTGACAGTATATAGCACCTCTAAAGGCGGCATCTCAAAGTGCTTTACAGAATGACGACAACAATAACATAATACACAATTAAAGCACAATGAGAAAACACAAAAAGAGGAGACAGTAGATGGGGGATCAGAATAAAGTAGGAGCAGAGGGGTAAAGAACAGAACAGGTCTAAAATGATTAAAATTAAAAATTTACTTCTCTATTGGCTACAGCTCTGCAAACTGCCGAATGATTCTGCTACTTTTAGCTGAAGAATGAGAATTTGAACTGTAATAAATACATTTAAGGGAATAAAACTACTGTAACCACATGGTCTGGTATCTGGAGGCGAGCTCGTTCCTTGAATTCTTTTCAGTGCATGAATGCCTTGCTGAAAACACCTTAAGACAACCGAAATGGTGTAATGCATTCTTAACACTGGAAATTGATCAAAACTTGTAACAGTTGTTTGTTTTTTTTCTGTTAAAGCAATGCTTCATTTAAGAATGTTTCCCCTAATTGATGAAAAGATCCTGTCTTTAATTTTCCACGCTGGGGTAAAAACAAAGCAGCTGGATGACCTAGGCAGTAGGAATTCAGCGAAATCAGATCAGTACTTCTTAAAGCATGTGCAATGCACAGCTGATACTCTTGTTTCTATTTTCTTTATTCTTCTGTTTAATTCTTTTTCACCATCTGTGCAATGTAAATAGCTGAGTGTTCAGAAGATATTACGTGCATCGTTTAATAAGGAAACATGTTTGGCAAAACACAATTAATCCAAACCAAACACTTAAATAATTTATGTCCCTCCTTGCTACAGCTTTCTCTTCTGAGACTCTTCTAACCCTATTCTAAAGAAGCCACAAAGTCCATCCAGTGTAGTAAACATTTATTGTGAGTTCCTCTTGCCGTGCAGTAAAAGCTGTGTCACAGAATGCGAAGGGGAGGGAAACAATGTCTAAAAGAGAGCATGAACTCTCTCACACTGCAAGCTGACTTTGCAAACCTTTCCCTTCCATTTTTAGATGAGTAGCAATTTTAATATTGAAAAATGGTTTGTCATTTCTAATGTCTTGCAGTTGTGTAGGAAAAGAAAAACAGTTTATCTGCAAGCACAAACCGTCCTCTCACGCTGTTTTGCCAGAGTTTTTAACCTTTCAGCTGCTGAATGTTTCTGACACAGGAGTCGAATCTGGCAGAATTATATTTACAGAAGACAACACAGTTTATGTTCTGCAGAGTCAAAAACCAGAACTTTCATCACGTCTGGAAATGCGTTGAAGGCTAATACTTTCGTCCATAGCAGAAGAGATGCTGCCCCATCTCACAACAAAACTGTTGTGCTACTTCACCACCATGTATAATCGGCTAAAATCTGGAATTTGCCATCTCTTATTTTGTGAGTGACTTGCATAAAGGACAGAGGTTGTATGTGTCGATTGATACTTGACTGTTGAGGATGAACCCTTTTCCCTTCACCTGTGATTTTTTGTATTAAATAAAGAAGAAGAGATAATTGTATCTTACAAAATTAATCTCTTCTAGTAATATTTTGTAACATATTTTTTGGGTTTGTTGATCTTGTGCTTAAAATTTGACAAAATATGAATCAACAGCTCAAAGTTTCAGAAATTTAGGATTTGTGAGGACAATTTGCCTTGCTCATACTCATTTTTCTGGCTCAGTTCTTAGGCTGCTTTTTGTAATATCCTGATTTCTGTTAATTTATACCAAAGCTAGAATGTTTTTTTCTTATATAGTACTGCACACACGTAGACAGTGTCTTGTAAGTAATTTTTCTTACTACTACTGAATTCTTCCCTAGCCCCATCATTATTTTCCCTTTTCATGGGCATTGTAAAAAGACGTGTTATACCAAAGAACGTGTTTTTGATCCTACACGTCTTGTTTCAGGTAATTAATTGTGTAACATGTTTTAACTTCCTTCCTGGTAATACAGTATATGTTTTCTTAAGGCTTCAACATAACAATTTTAGAGTTGGACAAAATGTATCAAACGAGCAACACCTAAAACAAAGATTGTCGTCACAAAATGTGTCAGGGTTCAAACCAAGAACCAGAAAGCAGAATTTCCCTACATTTCAACACAAGCCATTTACAAAACCTTTATTGCAAGTGTGAACAAGAAACGCAATCTGTAGCCTGAGTGGAACCAGGACGAAGGATAAAAAGTGCTTTAAGGTAACAAAATGAATATTGAGAATGTTATAGTTACGCATTCTTTAGAATAGGATCTGTACAATACGGAAGAGAATATAAAATTAGTTATGGTCACGGGTATTTTTTAAAATTTCTGCTGCCAACCTTTTGAGCACTTCTATTTGTGGTAGCAGTGAAAGATGGAGCTGCATGAGATTAGTCTACGACAATAAAGTTTCCTTTCAGTCACATGTATGTCTTAGCAGGTTGCTGCATTTGCAGTAGGTATGTTTAAGACACTCAAACATTTCCATTTCCCGATTAGCTAGATCTAAGGCATGTCTACGCCAGGACACACAATGAACTTTTCCTTGTTGGCCCTTCATTTTTGTCTCTGCATTTCAATTTTCAAAATCCAGCACATTTCTTTGCCGTTCAGACAACAAGAAGTTGTCAAAGCCCCTATCAGCTGCCGGGGATGTTTCTTGAGAAGTGGCCACACTGTGCTCTTCAATGTGTTTCTTGTTCTGGTATCGCTGTACTGCTCTCCTGGGAGCCCATGAACCAGATTCTAGCAAATCCTTCCACAGCTTCCTGGCCCCTGTAAGCTTTGAACTCACAAGGTTTTTTAATGAAAGTTCAAATTGGAAGGTCCAGCTTTGACAGATGTTTGACGTAGCGTCACGTAGCTGGGGAGTTTCTCTTGTAACTTTGTAAAGTAGGGTGCATGACTTGCAGATGCTGCCACTACTTCACTTGTTCTTAATAATAGGGATTGCTCTGCTCCTTGGGAAGCCTCATTGTCTTTTCTTCTCATCGTAAGTTTATAACAAGCCTTTTAAACTTTGGTCAATAATCATTACTATCCTCTCATTATCCTTGTATCTTCAAAAATGAACTGTACTATTCACAGTTCACAAAAATTGATTAGATGATTAGTGCTTTGTTTTACTTGATAATCATTATGTCACAATTTACTTGTTAAGATACAGCATGTTATATTGTAATTCCTGCTCACATGAAATGTTTTAGCTAGTTTTTTGTTTAAAATAGTATAGGTAATCAATTTCTTTGCTTAATATCATATCACTAAATACATTATAAATTGTTTTTTTTTATTTTGGCCTTCATCACAATCTTTATAGATTATTTTGACAGAAGGAATATGTTTTAACTCTAAGTATATATTTAAATTCAAGTATGAGTTAGCATCAAATACATTTTTGTTTTAATAACAAAATATTATTGATATTTTAAAACCACACTCTGGTTTGAATTTTCAGTCAAAGAAAGACAAGGATTCATAAACCTAAGATTCTAGTAAAACAACGTGGATTAATGTAGGAGCACTGCATAATGACTATGTACGGATTGATGTCCTTTATGAAATGTTAGATTTATTTTTAATGTAATGTTAATTTGTACTGTTTGTATGTTTTTGTAACATACAAACTGTGTGTGTAAAACACAGCTCTTTGGAAGGAAAAAAAATCTGAGAATTCGGACAAAGTTTTATCATATAGGCCAGATTCCTATACATAAAACACAAATCTTTATTCTAATGATTTTTACAGAAAATGTTTAGTCAGGCGGTGTTGAGTAACAGTGTGAGATAGGGACCTCTTGTGTTCTCAAAGCAAAACCCTCTCTGTGACTTGCCGTTGGCTGTTGATAAAAAAAAAACTTTCGTTTATCACCATCTAGGTCAAAAAAAATAAATGCTGTATCAGTGTTCGGCAGAGAGGAGAAACGTAAAATATCTGAACCATGCCAATTCATTCCCCTGCTCAATTTGTTTACAACCCGATTCTACTGATTTATTCAATGTTGGTCAGGCACAATGTGAATGTAGCCCTTGCAGAGGTATTCCCTCTGTTTCTGTTTCTGTGAGGTGATCCTTATAAAGACAGGACAAAACATACAAAATCTAATTGAAATCTGGAGTCAATTCTCTCTCTTCAGTGTGTGTCAGTTGTCAGGAATCTTGCATTGATTCACAAAAGGTGCAATTCCATTTTAAGGCATCTCACCACTGAGAAAAGAAGCCAAATAATACTATATAATTATATATATTATACTGTATATATATAGTAGATAATTCATTTGTATATTTTTGAATAATTATTTATATCTTTATTGTTATCCCGCTTACAAGGTGTTAATTCCACATGTATGTCCACTGCTTAATTCATGTCTTCTTTCACTGCAAATTGTCTGTGTAGCTACCTACTAGGCCGTCTGAATAGAAAATATATTTTGTATTGAAAATATAATAGGATCTCACAAAAAAAAGTAAGCAAAACTTTGGAGTAACTTCATTCCTTTGTGATATAATTTGATTATGATTTATCTTAATTACTGGGTTGTTTTACATATTTCACAAATTGCTATTGACGTGTAAACATTAGCTTTTCTTTTGCCATAGTCCAGATTTTAAAAAAGTGGTAATAACAACCTGTATCTTTTCTGTTTGGGTCTTGAAAAGCAGCAAAGTTTTATTTTAACAGGTCAGTATTATTATATTAGCATATTCCCTGGCATTACGCAAGTGAGTTACTTCTATCTCCTTCGACAACTTCGAACTGCGCATTTGAGGTGCAACTGTGTGTCCCTTTTGGGTCAGTTGTGGTTTTGGAAGAGACCAAAGACGAATGTGATCAGAGAAGCTATAAGGATACTTGTGTCAAAATATTTAAATTAACGACACAACTGTAACTTAATTGCAATAAAAAAAAACATTCTTATGCTGCTTTTTAAATAGGGATTACATTTCAACAACTGTTAGTAGATCTTAATGTTTAACTTAATGTAATTTTCTGATCGATTCTGTTTTTTAAATGGTAAATCAAGAATCTTTTTCTTAAAAGCTGATTGTAACTGTGTCAGGAAGTGCGCCACTTCACAATTTAAGGCCAACAATCGTAGACAGAGATAGAGAAAGAAAGACAGAGAAACACTGACCAGTGAAAAGTCTGTTTTTAGATACTTCCCCATTTCCTAATATTAAATATTTTTATTCTTTTAGAAGCGGCATTTGCGGTAGTACTAGTTGCTGAACACGTCAAGCCACAACCGAAAGGCGTGAAATATCCGGAAACTGCAAAGGGCGACAATCTCTTTACAGTTAACTTAATACATATACATTTTCCAACTTTAAATACGTTTAATGCATTGTTTATGAGAAACATTGCGCTGTCCGGTGAAAGGATAGATTCATCATCATGGAAACCAATTAAATGAATTCATACATGGTTTAAATAATACGGTTTTCAGTCAAGGGGCTCATCTAACCTTCAAAAATGGGCTGGAATGCCCTCTGCAGTGAGCAGGGTTTGATATGGTCCGTTGCCTCCTTCCTCTGACTTCAGAAGCCTCTCTCACCGTTGTTCCCTAATTTGGTAAATTACAAACGGCAGATATGGATTTCCACACATAGATCAAAAGGCGTACATCCTCAAGCGTTGCCTTTCGTTCCATTATTATAAACAGGAGAATAAATCTTGCCACGAATTAAACAAGAGCTTCCAGAGAGAGAGAGAAACATTGCCCAGGACTCCACTGCTTGCATTGTCTCTCCGAACCCTCTTTCTCTAAGCCTGTGCTCTTATATAAATAGTCTAAGTAGGCAATGACATCTTGAAAACCCCTACTGGAAATCATCCAGTTCATCGTCAAAATAGCAAATCACGGGCTGCGCCAGTACTTTCTTTGGGATTATCACACGTTTGTTATAAATTGAAGCAGAGTTTTTTTCTTTTGCTGCTTGACAGCTTAGAAACAGGGGTCAAATGCTGCAGCTCATTACCCCTGTGTATCTTAACAGATAATCAGGAACAAACACATAGTTTGTACAGTATGTGTTTGTGTTGTAACGTTTGCACTACTAATTTGGTCATATGAGAGTCTGTTTGTTTATAAACATACGAATGTGACATATAATACAATCTCGGATGGTTTTCCTTTCCTACTTTTTTGTTGTTTTTATGAGAATTTCTAAATAAACTAAAAGGGAAACAGTAACTTTACTTAAATCAGTATGATGATTTGCGCCAACACGAAAATGTCTGTGTACGCCATTAGAACAGCTACATTAGCATTAACAACACTGATGATATTGAATTAGAGCAATAATGAGAAGTAAAAACAATATTAAAAAGTTAAAAGCAAGTTGTTCTCTTTCCACCTGAATAAGAATTTGAAAAAATGTATTTCTGTTGAGAAAATAAACTTTAAAAACCAGGAGCCACCTCCAGAAGTCACACGTGTGACTGATTAATTGCCAAAGTTGTCCGCAGTGCCGTCAAAGTGCTCAGCACAGAAAGTCAAAGGACCTAAGAGGTTATCGGCTCTGGCCCAGCACATGCTAGAGGTGATTGAGTTGGATTTGAGTTGCTGTTACCAGTTTTCATGAGCACCAGCGCAAGCTCTGGAGAGTGGAGTCTGTCCAAGTCTTCCAGTGAACACACACAATGCCCTAACAGCCAGCACTTTGTCATGATGATCTCATCCTGCATTATTGTCTTAGTCTGTTCCTGGAAACCAAGATACAGTATAAAGACAACAGACAGCATTTCTGATGAAAAAAAAACATTCCTCTTAGGAACCATAAAAAGCAGTACATACACAATTTTAAGGTGCATGCAGAATATCCCCATTTTCTTCTTTGTCAAAATGTATGAAATGAAGATGACTCTTACTCAATGAATTAACAGCTGTATTGCTTACGTTTCCAAATTAAAACTAAGCGCTGAAAGTGTCATGGTACTCCTGGAAGAATTCATTTGTTTTTACGTAAATGCGGGTCATTACCATCCTTTTGACCCTCACACGAGCAAACGAGGTAATGTCACAACAGAGGGCAGAAAATCTAAACCAACTCAGACAGAAGCTCAGTGTTGTCTTACGCTTACTACTGAAATTTAGCAGTTAAACTACCAACAGAAGGAAAGCCAAAATAAAGAACATCAAAAACTTTGCAGTACACTGCAAAGTACTGTCTGTCTGTGAACTACTTTCAGATATGATTTCCAGATATAAGACTTGATGTTTACTAAAATATGTCTTCAAGTACCAGTTAAAATATTATTCATATGATGCTCTTAAGGCTTAACGAATGTGTTATAGGACACGTATCGTATCATCTCCTGTCGCCTAGAGTTAAATTACAGGAGGTTATTTTCCACCCTCTTTGGTGAAGGTCATATGGACATATGCTAAATAGATAACACAAGGAGTACAGATAGTTCAATTTTTCAAATCAACTGTGCGTAAGGCTTTCCAGCTGGTGTGAAAATAGACATATCGTGTCACAATCAGAGTTGTGTAATTGAGGACACACGGGTGGATACAGGAACTTTACTGCATATTGCATGACAGATATTCTTGTCATTTCACTCTTCTTCCTTAAGGGACGTTTCGACACAGTGTTGGAAATTTTCCAAAATGGTGGTCCTGCGTCTAATTAAACCAATAAGCAGACGAACATGAAATGTCTGCATGAAGGTCAAGATAGAAAAAGTATTGTGAAGCTCAAGTTACAGTTAACAAAAAATTGAATAACAAATGAATTTAGAGATCTCATGAGATGAAGTGAGAATTAGATTTTGTTTTTTGCTAAATGTCAGGTTAACACCTGAACATCTTTCTGGAATGGGAATGTTTATTTTGTGTTATTCAGGAGCACTGCATGTGCTAATCCTAGCAAGATGCACAATAATTTAAAACTTCATCTTTTAAATACTTTTGCCAACAACATCCTCCTGCAATTCTACCATAATTTACCCGAGTCAGTAAATCTGAATACAGTAACAAAGATCATTTGTTTTCTAAGGATCAGTTGGATTTTAAAAGAGCCCATCTTGACCAAATACACAATGAATAAAACTACTCAAAGTCTGACACTAATTATGACAGCACTAGAGAACACATCAGCCTGTGCTGTCCATTCTGACTGAAGATTAGAAACATACTTTAAGAGTGGAGGGGTGGTGTAAGCCATTGGACAAAAAAGGTCCTATTACCACTAAGAGGCACGTGCTGGAGATCTCATAAGCGACAGCAAAGAGGAAGCAACACTGCAACAAAATTAGGAAGTCTCCATGAGTGAAAGAGAGAAGCACAGCATTTGCGACACCTAGCAAACCCACCACACACAGCACAGTCAAAACTGTTTCAGAAAGACACCATCAGCTTTAACTCAAAGATAAGTTTCAAATGCCAAAGGATTTACCGTTTTTGGTTGACAGTGGTTGCTAGCCAGATCTTCTTGCCTCTGTAGTGATCCAAGATCAGCAAACGGGTAAAGACTTTATTAATGTGTTGGAAAGATAATGTCAGTGTCAGGGCTTTAGAATAGCTAAATAAATAGAAAATCAAAGAGATCTTCATTGTAATAAGATGTTCTTCATTGCTCCCAGGAGGACACTTGGGATGGAGCTACTTCACTGTCTCATTGACATTGACTCCTTATGCCTGTTGTTTTTCAGGTTGAAGTATAATTAAGAGGGGGATGGAGTCCTTCTTGACGAAAGACCCACTGCGTGTTAATGTAACAACTGTGCCTACAGCAAACTTCAGCTCTCACCTCCACAAGGAGCCGTACCTACACAAACTGGCGCACCTGGATGAGGGGCTTTACAATGACTTCTACAGCTTGTGGATAGCCTTGGTGGTCATCAATGCTGTGATCTTCCTGGTAGGCATCCTCCTCAACAGCCTGGCCCTGTACGTCTTCTGTTTCCGGACCAAGCCCAAGACCACGTCCGTCATCTATACCATCAACCTGGTCATCACCGACCTCCTGGTGGGCCTCTCCCTGCCCACCCGCATCGCCATGTACTACAGCGGAGGGGAGTGCCTCACCTGCTCCTTCGTACACATCTTCAGCTACTTTGTCAACATGTACTGCAGCATCCTCTTCCTCACCTGCATATGTGTGGACCGCTACCTGGCCATTGTGCAGGTCGAGGCCTCTCGCAAGTGGAGGAACCCCAACTGCGCCAAAGGCATCTGTATCTTCATCTGGCTCTTTGCCATCGTGGTCACTTACTCCATCCTGACCACGGCCATCAAATACGCCGCCTGCTGCCTCTCCAAACTCTTAGTCCTGACCGTCTTCGAGTTCTTCCTGCCCCTGGTCATCATTGTGATCTTCACCATCCGCATCATGTGCGCCCTGGCCAACCCCAACCTGATGCAGCAAAGCCGGGAACGTCGGATGCGGGCCGTCCAGCTCCTCATCACAGTGCTGGTCATCTTCACCATCTGCTTCACCCCCTTCCACGTCCGGCAGGTGCTGGTCTACGTCTACCCAGACATGCCCCACCACATCAGCCTCATTGTGTACCACGTCACCGTCACCCTCAGCAGCCTCAACAGCTGCATGGACCCCATCGTCTACTGCTTCGTCACCAACAACTTCCAGGCCACCATGAGGGGCATCTTCCGCAAGCCCGAGCTGGGACAGACCAGCGGCGACATCGTCAGCATGCAGAAGAGCTCCAAGGGCTCGGTGACAGTCACGCCCGTCACTCACAGTTTAATCACGGCAAACTTTTCCAGCCCCGCATTGGGTAGCTCTGAAGTGTGAGAGTTGAGGCGAAGGACATCCCCCGTCACTGGATTAATCAGGCTACTTATCAGGCCTGTCATGTCATGTATATCAGAACATCAGCGGAGCTTTAAAGCACGCTGATGATCATTCTGTATTTGCTGTACATAGTTTCAGAAGCCAACCCGCGTGGAGATGCATTTTGTTTCCTTGTCAGGTCCGTGTTTTTCATACTGTACATGAGAAAACATACCGTTCTCACCCGTTCTTTGCAACGACTCTGACTGAAAAAAATAACTGAACTGTTTTTCCCAAGGGAAAAAAAAATTGAACAAAAACTCCACTTTGAAGTTGACATAATGAAGCCACCTCCAACAAATAGAGACAGGGAAGATGGACGTCAGGAAAACAGCTGGAATGTGCAGTACCGCATTCTTTAATTGAAATGGCTGTATCTGTGAAACATTCCTGTGAATGGTTTAATTCTTAATCACATACAGCATTTCACATGGAGCATTGTGCAGATAGATGCTTCAAGCAGTTAAGGTGAAAGGCTAGGTCTGGCTCTGTCACGGGGCTGTTCTTATTACATCAAAGCAACAAATGACATAATTTATGAAGGATCACATACTACGGGATTTTTTTGATACATTTTTAGGTTGAACTGCTAATCTAGTTCTCTTACATTAAACATATTGTAGCCAGTGTCTGGAAATTTTTCTCTGGTAAATATTTGTACAAATTTGTTGTTGTTGTTTTTTTAAATAGAACTTTTGTGATTTTGCAGCCTGTGTACAATGTAGTGATATATATGTATAATCTGAAAGCTTCAAAATTATCAACAAACTGAGATTTAACCACATGAAAGGGCTACTTCCAAGGGTCAAAACAAGCTGAAACAATATAAACTTGTAGCTCATGGAGAAAAGTACACAACTCATGATTATTTCTAAAGAATCTATACAATTCATACAAAAATGAATTTGTACAATAGAAATAATTGAATACTGATAATTGTGCATTGTTTGCTTTCAAATCAAAGTAATGTAACTAACTGTGCAGGTGATTTAAAAGTAATGTTGAAATTAATATGCATAATTAATACATATATTGAGATATTAATGGTAGATATAAGTGTGTAAAAATCTTCCCCTTTAAGAAACAGCATTCTATTTTTTATTTTCTTTTTAAAATCTTCAGAAATTCATAATTATTCTTTATTAAAATAGTGTAATGTCTGTTCTCATCGCAGAGGTGTTCAATATTAAAGCGTAGAATTAAACATTTTAACTGTGGAAAAGTTTAGTATTTCTTAAATGCTCGTGGGTGACAAGGTGTGACACCCGAAGAAGGCTTAACTGCCAAAACATTACGTTCTTTCTGCATTTCAACATCGAACTTACTTTTACTTTTGCCTTTACAGCTCACCCGTGTTTACGTACTATTTATAGTTTTCAGAAAAAATATACTTTAGTGTCTTTTCTGAGTAAAGCTCTTCAACGTCAATTTTTAACTATCTATTTAACTTCAAAGTCCTATTAAATGAGCCATACTGGAATGGAGTGTTTGGGTGTACATGTTTTTGGAAAATAAAAAAATACTTTCTGACGGAGGCAGGCCACCACATTTCTAAATTGTTATAACACTTCTTCTCAGTGCTCAGGCATTGTTTCACACACACCAAGAACAGAGCTGGTTTACAAGGAGATGTCTTGCTTGGGTTGATGTGATTAATAATCCAAAAAGAAACACCAGTGAAAATCACATTAAAAAGGATACATCAGGTAAACTTTTTACACTTTGTTTAAATTATTTTCCATTAGGTACTGAGGAAAGTGAGCCTGGCAGCGGTGTTTATGTCACTTAACTTCTAAATATAAATCGACGATGAAAACAAGCATATTTGACCGCTACTCAGTCAGCAATGGAAAAGTGCCTAATTGTCTTTTGTCTTTAAGTAAATGCTTAATAATAGAACCGTTGTCTGAAACGCGGCTTTTGAAAGGCCTTTTGATGAGACTTCTGAGTGTGTGCGCCTGAGAAGTACAAATATCAACAGCCACACAGAGCCCACTAAATTAAATGACGAATAATAAAGATCCACATTTGCCCCCTTTTCATGTTTTGCATTTTTTTATCTTCGTTGATCCAAAAACATCCACATAGTGTTTAGAAGTAAATATTTTCCAACACCAGGTGGCACAGTGGTTAACATTGTTGCCTTGCAGTGCTGCGGCCTCAATTCTGAATCTGGGGTCTGTGTGCGTTTGTCTTTATGTGCCCTGTGACAGGCTGGTTTCCCATCCAGGGTGTATCCTGCCTCTTGCCAGTGAAAATGAAAAAGTATTATTGTTGATTGTAGATTTGCAGGGGTGGCCTGGACTTTCCATTTAAAGCTGGTTTCCTATTCCACTTAGCGAATGTTGACGCATACAGTACAGAAAATGTACATGACCCACATTCTTCATCATACAAACAGTCTCAGTATCACAGTATAGCATATTACTGATAATAACTGGCCACAGACAGAATGATTCAAACTACATCTATGTGATTTGAGCAAGTATTCAAAGTCAACCAATTTACCTGCTGCAAGATGGATTTAAAAAAAAGAGACTGTCACAGTAATCTAGGATCATACAAATCTACTCAATCACCTCTCCAATTATTTTTCTGGTGTCAAGGCAAGGCCATCAGAAGAGAGATAAGAGACAGAAGAGAGGAATTATCTAGTACAAAGGGATGAAATGAAAAGAAGACAGGCTTTCTTCAAACCAATATTTTGATGGAGCGTTCAACTGAAGTCTGACAATAGAAAAATTGTAAATGCGAGGTGAGTGAAAAAAAACACATCCGCATACACAAAAATTAGCCCACAACACACTTGATCATCTTTGGGACAGCTAACGTTTTTATTTATTTAAACAGAAACAAATTAAACACGAAAGTGATGATACAGTATATGAGAAGATACATATACGATACTGTATGTACCCCTTATTTTCTTTTAGCATTGTTTCAATTTTATGGAATAATTTTTGCAAGGTTTACAAAGGTGCTTGGTTACAGACACGCATTAAGACATTTGAAAACGGACTACTCTTCTGTGTACGTGTTGAGATGATTACTGTTCATACAGTATATTTAGCAATGCTCCACAATTCACCAAGTCAGACATCATTGTTACAAGTACATTATTGTTGTTGATTTGGAAGACAATCACAGGAGGCCAAGACAATACTATAGCAGGGATCCTAAACATGGAGTTTCTGGCAATACAATAATTAACCTTAGCCAGACATCCATATGATCCTGTCCAGACGAATACTTAAAGCACACACTTTATTAAAGTACAGGTGCCTATGTGGATTCTGGTTAGAAGCATTACAAATATGCAATAATTGGACCAACTATGCAACAGAGCTCAGATTGCGTAGTAATTAGAAGACACAAGGCCAGAATTAGGCAACCCTAGTCCTGAAGCACCACCTTTGTTTTGGTTTCAGTGATCAAATGTAATGGCTGCAATAAACCAATTAAGTAGAATAGGAGTCACATCAGCTGTTATCCAGATGTTAGAAAGATGCAGATTGAAAGGTGCTTCTTACCGTGGTTCCAATTCCTAATCCTGGGGAGCTGAGCTCTTAAGTTAAATGAGTCCTTAATTGAACCAAAAAGTTACTTATGAAACGCAATAGCTAAAAGGCAGACCCCCACAGGTATCAGAGCTGACCCCAATTAAATAGCTCAAATTAAATCTATGACTAGGTCGATTCATATTAATTATTTAATTGAACAATCAGGCGGAGCAACAAACAGCTGGTGTGTGGTTTCTCAGGGCTAGAACTGGAAACTACTGCTCTAAAACTTACAGGAACCTAACACTTGATGATTAGGGCTCCATACACCTGCACTAAGGCCTTCAGAAATTGAATTTGAGGTCCTTGCGCTGGAAGAACAGAAAAGGACTGTATTTTTGCAGGCTAATGAGACCTAAGGAGAACGTCCGAACATTTACAGGATAACACCCCATAAAGCTAAGCAGCATCCCGAAACTGCTCATTAAGACCCAGGGGTCCCCAGTCATGCACTTGGAGAGTCCCAATCCAAGTCTTAAATCACCTGGTTATTCAAGAATAACTAAGGCTGTTCCTAAAGAACACTGGCATATTATAGAGCAAACAAGCAACTAATTGTGGTTAATTTAAGGAGCTCTGATCCTCAAGGAGGTTTGTCACAAATTACATCTTTTTCATCATTTAAAAAATCACCTGTTTGTAACTGATTACAGTTGCTCAGTTTTTAGAAATTGTTGACAATATTTACCAACGGTAGAAAACCGGGGCTGGAGTCGGACTGGAGCCTCTTGCCAATCTGCCCTTGACTGAGCACACTCTTGACTCAACTTACATCGCTGCCATCTGTTTGGAGGCAGTTACAATTACCAGATACGGCGAAACACGTTGACTGTATTTGTAGTTATTTCATACCACCGCGAGATGGAGCTGTTGTCCTTTTTTTATTGATATAGCGCTAAGGTCCAGTAAGCGAAACGCAACTGCAGCACTGTTCACCGTCACTTGACCGTGTGTGAACAATTGAGAGGAAAGACCATACGCAAATACACGTCACTAAATCAAAACCCACCTTTCCTACTGGGTTGTACGGCTAGAGTACTTCCTTACTGTCGGATGAAGAAAGCTGTTCTCTAATTTACGATTAGCCTGTGGCTGTGGTGTAATTGACGTTTATTCTTTTAACTGATCAGAACGGATACTGGCAAGATTTTCACTGTTTTCCGAAAATGTGTTGATTTGTTTTTAGGAACTTAATCACCATTCTTTTTAAGGAATTGAATACAACCTCATTTATTACAATTTCAACCCTTTTTATTACTACATACTAGTGGATCACCATTGTGAATTCCTACATGATAACACTAAAACTCTTTTAATTCATAAAAATGAAGTCTTCTACTTCAGACAGCTTTGATTTGAATAGTGGCAAAAATGCAGAATTTAAATGTTGTTAAATGTTGACAGTTTAGTTGTTACCAGGTAAGAAACAACTCTGACTTGCACTGTCTCTCTGTATTCTCTGTAGCTTTGTCTGTGCACCCACTTAAAAGCGGTTGTGTCATCACATCACATTTGGAAAAGTTACAATAATGCTTTGTAGCATTCAATTATTCAGACAGCCCTTCCAGTTACAAGAAACATGACCATGAGACCAAGTAAAGTAGCAATCCCTCCTCTGCACGTCTGTGCCTGTGTCTCATCAATCCACTTTTGGAAATGCATTAAAAACCAAGCATAACAGGCACTTCTTCACTTGAAGGGTAGTTCGAGTATAGAATCAGCTGCCAAGCAGTTGAAGTCGATACTCTGGCTTGTTTCAATAACTGACTGGAGGAGATCCCGGGATCAATTAACAACAAATAGACTACATAAGAAAAAGGGATACCTTATATATGTAGCCCTACTTACTGTATATTCTTTCTTATGTACTTTTACGTTTTCTGATCATTGGCCAATTGTATATCTCGATGCACCTTATACGCTAACAGTCTTAATATTGGGATAGCATACATTTCAGCAACAGCAAGCTGTCTAGCACTTTAATCCAGCTCAGTGGTAACAGAAAGCAAAGCCACAGGAGCACAGAGAGACTAAAATGTAAAGCCTTTAATAGTGTGGGGCTTGCACAGATGACCTTCAGATTACTGGCCTGCAGCCTCTGTAAAGATCACGGAACTGAATGTTTGCTGCCTCCTAGTGCGCATGTGCGTGTACTGCACTGAATTTGTTCCACTCCTGATGTTTCTATGCTTCAGTGTTGTGGCTAAATATCCGTAGCTAAATACCATCTACTTGTAAGTATCTGTAAATAATGTGATTCTTTGGAATGTTTTAAATGTTTTTCTAAGATAAGACTTGCCTGTTGGACATACTGTTTACAAACTAGTATTATAATTTAGTTATTCTTGTAGATAAGACTACTTTGTTGTTTTCTTTCATGTGTGAGATAAATTTTTGCCTTTCCTCCAGATGAGTTCTGTCAGCTATGTGTCCCACGGTAATGGATGTGTACTGAAAACCAAATATCAACAAAACATAGGGATGTGAAGGAGCCAGTGTCTATCCCAGCAAGAAATGGGCATAAGGCAGGATTCACCCTGGACAGGACACCATTCCATCAAAGGGCACACATACACACAAACACACAGCGACACACCTGTGCCCATTTTTCCCAGAAGCCAATTAAACTACCAGGAGGTCTTTGGACTGTGGAACCCAGAGGACACCCCAGGTGAACATAGGAAGCACATACAAACTCCACACAGGCAGCAGCCCTGGTACAGAAATAAACCCAGGGCCCCAGTACTGCAAGGCAGCGATGATAACCATTGTATTACCCTGCTACTCCCTGTAGGGCTTTTCATTCATTGTAATGGTAATGGCAGATATTCTGAAGCAGTTAGAGCAGGGAACTGTGTCAGCATGTCAGCTGCAAAGGAATATTTAATTCTACATGTGGTATTACCGACATCTTGTTCCATGGCTATAATTCAGTCATTCACTGAATAAACATAACTATGCACCTTCACAGCAA